CTTCGCTGCTTTTATGCTGCTCTCCTCCCCTTCCTCCCTCCTCTCCCTCCCTCCTCTCCCTTCCTCCAACTCGCTCTCCACCTCCCTTCTCTTCCTTTCCTCACACTTTGGCTGACGTCATGGGCAGGTATGCCAACCTGCGGCAGCAGCTGCTGGATCAGTTCACTCCTCGCCACGTAGACGAGATCTCGAGCAAGACTGTGCCGAAGCTGCAGCTGCAGCAGGTGCGGGGAGAGAGGATGGTCTCGAGCAGGAGCAAAAAGAGGAAGAGAAGGAGCGGAGCGATGACGAGAAGGAGGAAAAGGCTGCTGCTGCTGCTGCTGCTGCTGCTGCTGCTGCTGCTGCTGCTGATGATGATGATGATGATGATGATGATGATGATGATGATGATGATGATGATGAGAGGAGGAGGAGGAGGAGGAGGAGGGAGGAGGAGGAGGAGGAGGAGAGAGGAGGAGAAGGAGGAGGAGGAGGAGGTATGTTGGTTTACTCATGATTTCAGATTTTCTGGCTCGATCTCGTCGCACGGGAGAATCCTTTTTCAACATCTCACTTTCTTTGGTGACCTCCTCGCATCTCTCCTTCTCCTCCACTTCGTCCTTCTTGCATTCCTCCACCTCCTCCTCGTCCTCGTCCTCCTCGTCCTCGTCCTCCTCGTCCTCGTCCTCCTCGTCCACGTCCTCCTCGTCCTCGTCCTCCTCGTCCTCGACCTCGTCCTCGTCCTCCTCGTCCTCGTCCTCGTCCTCGTCCTCGTCCTCGTCCTCGTCCTCGTCCTCGTCCTCGTCCTCGTCCTCGTCCTCGTCCTCGTCCTCGTCCTCCTCGACCTCGTCCTCATCGTCCTCGTCCTCGTCCTCCTCGTCCTCGTCCTCGTCCTCGTCGTCCTCGTCCTCCTTCAACCACCCCCTTTCCCCCCTTCTCCTTCTCTTTCTCCTCCATCTTCTTCTTCATTTCCTTGTCTTCTCCCGCTGCTCAACGGTTCTCGTCTACCTCCTCATCTTTGTTTCCCTCAGGTTGGACGTGGGCCGATGCCCTCACCTGCTCGCTGCTCCTCTCAACGTCTCCTTCCTGAGGTAGAGCCACGAGCAGACGAGAGAAGGCAGGGCAGGGCAGGGCAGGGCGGGGCAGAGCAAGGCAGGGCACAGCAGGGGAGGGGAGGGGAGGGCAGAGCAGAGGTAGGAGAAGAAGGAGAGGGAGGCGGGGCTTAAGGAGGAGAAGGAGAAAGGGGAGAGATAGGAGGAGGAGGAGGGAAGGAGAGATAGGAGGAGGAGGAGGGAAGGACCTCATTTGTGACAGGGAGGCTCATGCTCGACGTCGATTCGTTATCTTTGCGGCCTACGACAAGATCACTCCCTGCTTTGGTGAGAGAAGAGGAGAGGAGAGGGGAGGGGAGGGGAGGGGAGGAGAGGAGATGAGATGAGCGGGGAGGAGAGGAGAAGAGAGGGGAGGGGAGGGGAGGAGAGGAGATGAGATGAGAGGGGAGGGGAGGAGAAGAGAGGGGAGGGGAGGGGAGGAGAGGAGATGAGATGAGAGGGGAGGGGAGGAGAAGAGAGGGGAGGGGAGGGGAGGGGAGGAAGGAAGGGAAGGAAAGGAGACACGAGATAGGGGGGAAAGGAGAGAAATTGCAAGAAGAGAAAAGAGGGGAAGGAGAACGAGGAGGAGGAGTTTTCTCTGTTTCATGCTTTTGTGCAGGAGGGCTGCCGAGAACGAGGAGGCTTCTCCTTCGCAACGGCAGCGACCCGAGTGAGATCTTGAGGGCTCAACTCATGGGAGGAACCCCAGCAGCTATCGCACGGTAATCCATGCTCCCTCCATGCTCCTTCCCTCTTCCTCCCTCCTCCATACCTCTGCCGTTTAGTTCTTCTGTATGTACCTGTCCCTTCGTCTACTCCTCATCTACCTGCTCTGCCTCCTCTATCACCTCCACATGATCTGTTCCTCCTCCTCTGCGCTCTCCTCGTCTTCCCTCTCCTCCTCTTCCCCCTTCTGTGCATTCTATGAACCTCTGCTTGCTCCTCGCGTTCGTCCTCTTGATGTTCTCTCTTCTGCACTTTGCTGCATCTGACGCAGAGACTAGAGTGAAGGCAGTTTATGAGCTAGAGCTCTTGCGAGCTTTAGAAGCAGGTCTACCTCCTCCTCCTCCTCCTCCTCCTCCTCCTCCTCCTCCTCCTCCTCCTTTCCTCATTTCACGCCTGCTCTAGGGGAGGTGTACGACAAGGAGGAGCCTATCTTGACGGCTGTATGGGACATGCACCCTCGTCTCTTCCACGCGATCCCAACGTACAAGAACGCACTCGGGCAAGTCAAGGAGGAGGAGGAGGAGGAGAAGAAGAAAGAGGAGGAGGAGAAACAGGAGGAAGAGGAGAAGAGAGAGGAGGAGGAGAACGAGGAGGAGGAGGAAGCAGTCGTGGTGGTGGTGGTGGTGGTGGAGGAGGAGGAGGAGGGAGAGTAGGTCCAAACGAGTGAGGACGGAGAAGATTTTTACTGATCTCTACCCTTCCAGTCAAAACATGGAGATCGTGGCATGCTGGTCGATAAGACAAATGAGCGCTTCTATGCCGAGAATGGGCATACGGTAACTTTTCCTTGCTGCTTGCTGCTTTTCCTCCTCTCTCTCTCTCTCTCTCTCTCTCTCTCTCTCTCTCTCTCTCTCTCTCTCTGCTCCTTTCTCTTTGCTTTGCGCTTCCCCCCCATCTCCCTTCGTCCTGTCGATCGCGTCCTCGTCCTCGTCTCAATCCCCTCCTCATCCTATTCTCTTGCTTCTTCTCATTTCTTACCTTCAGGTCTCCCGCTAACGGAACTCAAATCTTCATTGAAGATGCCCTCCTCCTCTTCGACCTGCACAACATCCTTGTGATGGTAACAGCAAATCTGCTCTCCTTTCCTCTGCTCTGC